CCCCCCCCCCCCCTCTTTTTCGCGCACCGCCAAAGTGTATCCGTGGGTGGGGACACCCGTCGGACCCATCCCTTCGCTTCTTTTGCACCGGCACCGCGGTGCGGTGTCCTCCTCGACTGCCCCGCAGCAGCGCCGGTGAGCGGAGCTCCCCGGGACGTAGCAGGAATCGGGCGGGCAGCGGGGCCGCAGGGAGCGCAGCGGCTCTTTCAAAAGACACGTGCGGCTCTTCCTTCTTCTTCTTCTTCTTTTATTTTTTTTTTTCCTTTTTTTTTTTCTCTTTTTTTTTTTTTTTTTTTCTTCCTTCCCCTCCTCCCCTTCCTTTCCCTCTTTTTTTTTTTTTATCTTTTTTCTTTTCTTTTTTTTTTTTGTTCTTTTTGGTGCTTCCCATGGAGATGCCTCTCGGATGCGCACCGCCCGCCCTTTATTTGCCTTCCCCACCCCATCCCATTCCCAGCTCAGCTCCGTTCCGAGACTCCATCCCTGGGGCCGCATCCTTCCTCTGAAATCGGATGCGCGGTGTTGTGTTGTGGGGCTGCCCCGGCTCGGAACGGGGCTGTAGGCTGCTGTTCGCTCGAGCAGAGAGCGGAGCAGAAGGAGGAAAAACTGGCCGGGCATTAAAAAATAATAATAACAATAAAAGCATAAAGAGGGATAATTAAGGGAAAAGGGAAAAACAAACAAACAAACACCCACGTAACCCGGGAAGTTCTGTGTGCATCCGATGGTGCGAAGGAAAAGGCAGAAAGGATGGTGAGAAGAGCCCTGCCGCCTCCACCTGCGGCCGTTCCCAGCTGTCAGCTCCGCCGGAGCTTCTTCTCAGAGCGGCCGTTCCGCTGCGCGCAGCGCCGGCAGTGCGTGGAGACCCGCGCGTGGGGCAGCGGAGGGACGGGGCGAGAGGAGAGAGACGGAGAGGAGGAGGATGAAGATGAAGATGTGCTGCCGGGGGTTAACGGGTGGGAAATCTGCGTCCATTTCTTTTGTTTCAGTGTCAAATGAAGAGCTTTGAGGTGTGACTGGAACGAAACTTTTTTTGGAAGTGAGATGAAAACTCTTTGGGAGAAAAAAACCAACAATTTTTGTTTGTTTGTTTGTTTGTTTGTTTCTTCTGCACGTGGGTCCCGTCTGTCCTTTCATATTTATTCGCCTGAACCAAGCAACCCTAAACAACCAAGCAAGCGAAAGCGGGACGGAAAGCAAAGTGAAAATGGAGCGCAGGGTTCAAGCCGGGAGCACGCTGAGGACCGCCGTAGTCGCGCTGCTGAGGACGGTCGGGTGTCAGTAGGAGACGCACCGCACCGCGGCGGGGACACCCCGGCCCCGCACCACCCTCGCAGTCCGGGCCACCCAGGGGACAAGCTCCTGAAAAGGGCATCCCGATGTGCCATAAATCCATCCTAAAGCCACCGAGAACGTTTTGATTCCAGAAGAAATCCGGCTGGTGTTTATTGGGATCCTGTTGCTTTTCGAGGTTTTGCTGTTGTACGTTTCATTTGTTAAACACGAAGAAGCCCCACAGAGCTCTAAGAGAGGTGTGAACTTGCAGTTCAGGTATAGAAACTGCAGTGTGGGTCATTCCAACTTCTCACACGTCCTCCAAAATGGCTTTTGCACCTGAACTGCAGGCAGCTGGTTGGCCATCCACCTCACGGCTGTACCAACCATGCCACTGAAAAATAACTTCCAAATACTGCTACTACTACTACTAATAATAAAGTTTTAATTTTTAAAATCCTGCTTTCATTTTTCATCAGCAAAATGGTTTGTTGAAATGATCAGAAGGCGGTACGGGGCGCAGTCACACTCCAGCATTATTAGGTCTCTATGCAGTGTTGTGCTTGGATCGAGATTTCAAAGGTATGCCATAAAACCTCAGACAGCCCTCCTCCCCCAGGGATATTTATCTTACACATTTAATTGCTCAGTAAAACAAATTCTGAGTGCGTGTGCTTGTATGGAGAGGGTTTGGATCGGTTAATTTCAGTACATCCGCTGTTCTGCAGCAGCTCAGTGGGTCTCTGCACCAACATCCCTGGGACTTGGGATTTTCCATTGGTCCTGTGAGGAGGCA